CTCGAGCGCCCGGTAGCCCGCCACGTGGCACTCCTCCCAGCGCCGGTTCAGCGTCGCGCACTGCAGCAGCCGCCAGCCCTCGCCCGCGCGCCACTCGAGCACAAAGTGGAAGCCGACGGCGTCGAGCGCCGCGTGGACGAGGCGCGCGTCGGCCGCGGGCTCCCAGGGCCGCAGGTCGAAGGGCCCCCGCGTGACGTCCGCGCAGTCGCCGAGCAGCCAGGGGCTGTTCTCGCGGAACACGGGAGGCGCGCCGTAGTACGCCAAGCTCGCCGCGAAGGCGCCGGGCCGGTCCGCGAGCGCCAGGGGCTGGCTCCGCAGGACGACGTCGAAGGCCGACGGCGCCGCGAGGAGGCCGCGCCGCGCCTCGACGCCCGTGAGCACGAGGTTCGCGGCGCGCACGGCCTTGGGCTTCGCGTCGCCTTCGAAGCGCACGCCGTACCGCCGGTGCGCGCCGCTCGGCCCGTCCACGACGATGCCGAAGCGGCCGTTGAGGTCCTTGTGCTCCACGAGCCCCGCGGCGACGACCTCCTGGCCCTTGAGGAGCGGGAACGCCTTCGCCGCGGCCTCGAGCTTCGTCTTGCGCTCCTCGGCCGCGGTCCGCTCGAAGTCGTCGCCGTGCTCGTGCATGGCCATGACGCGCTGCAGCTCGTTGTCCGTCGTCGGCTCGTGGGCCGTCATCTTCACGTCCTCGAAGTTCCTCTCCGGGTCCCTGGCCCGCGCCGCCGCCGCGGCCGCGGCGTCCTCGGCGGCCTGCTTCGCGGCCAGGGCCTTGAGCTTCGCGCAGCCGGCCCAGCAGCGGCCCCGGTCGCCGCGGATGACGCTCTGGATGGCGATGGCCGACACGAGCCGCTCCGCCGCGCGCGCCGCCGCGGGCTGCCGCTTGAGAATCTCGGCGACTTTTTGCTTGCGGTCCGACTCTTCGAGGGCGAGCCCGCGCGCGATGGCCTCGCGGTCCATGGAGATGTCGCAGCTGATGCCGTGCGCGGCGGCCTTGGCCTTGATGGATTTCGAGAACTCCTCCATCGATGTCGGGATTTCCTCATACATCGTGCTCATTGCTAAGCGCCCGTTGACGATATAGCTTGATTGAAGGGAACTTGCCTCTTCAACGAGCAGTTGTCTCTCGTCCCCGGGGGGTGTGAGTAGCAGTTCTGAACCTGTCGCGCGCCGAGTCGTGTGCGCCGCCGCCGCGCGCAAGAAGCTGTCGCGCGCCGAGTCGTGTGCGCCACCGCCGCGCGCAAGGAGCGCATCACTTCGCGCAAGAAGCGTCCTCTCGTTGCACCCATGCTCTGGCGAAGAGCCCTCGTCGTTGCAACCGCGGCCCGCGCCTTCACGACGGTGCCCGTCGCCGTCGAGCAGCGGTCGCGGCGCCACACCAACGTCGCGCGGTCCAACTTCGTCGACGACTTCACGGCCGTGGCCACCGACTTCCTGTCGAAGCTCGTGCCCGCGCCGGCGCCGTACAACGCGTCGAACGTGGCGCCGGGCCACGTGCACCGCTGCGCCGTCAAGGCGAAGAACCTGAGCCGCGCGCCGGGCTGGACGACGAACAAGCCGAGCGTGCCGGGCATGGGCCTAGGCCTCGACGGCTGCGCGGGCGACTTCAACAACTACCGGTCGGCGGCGCTGCAGAACACGCGCGACCGCGGCGTGTCCATCATCACGACGGACGTCTACAAGGCGCTGACCGGCGAGGGCTGGCCCGTGCAGCACGGCGACCTCGGCGAGAACCTGTTCGTCGACATGCCCTACGCGACCTTCGCCGTCGGCCGCCGCTTCCTCATCGGCATGACGGCGCTCGTCGAGATCACGGAGGCCATCGTGCCCTGCGCTCGCCGGCGTCCCGCGGCGACGACGAATTTCGAGAGCTTTTGAGACCAATGGAAATATCGTCACTTGGTAGGCGCCTACCTCTGCCAGCTGAGCTACCTCAGCCCCCGCTGGCGGTGCAACGATTTCATCCGCGGGCTGGCGGGCCGCCGGGGCTGGTACGCCAAGGTCCTCGTGCCGGGCTACGTCGCCGTCGGCGACGCCGTCGTCGCCATGCCGACCTAGCTGTAATGTACTTGTGAAAACCTAAAAACCCACCCTTACCACCCGGCTAGAGCAGCTCGGCCCAGAGGCTCGACTCGAGCGCGACGGCCGCGCCCGGCCGGTCGACGAGCGGCGCCGCGGTGACAGGCGGCGGCGGCGGCTTCTCGGGCTCGGCGGGCTTCTTCGGTGGCAGGGGGGCGGGCTTGCCGTCGCTCGGCGCGAACTTGCCCCCCGGCCGGAAGTCGTCCATGTCGAGGTACTCGATGTTCGGGTCCTTCGCGTTCTCCTTGCGCTCCTTCTCCGCGTTCTCCTTCTTCTCCTTGACCGTGGACTCGCGCTGGTTGATGTAGTGCTGGCTCAGGATGTCGGCCTTGTGGAACTTGTCCTCGGCGAAGGCGCCGCCCTCGCCCTCGCCGGAGTTGTCGGCCGCGCGCGCGGCGACGTCGGCCGCGTGCGCCGCGGCGTACGCGAGCTCGTGCGCGGACGCGCCCGGCGGCGGCTTCTCGAGGGCGCTGCCCGGCGCCGACGCCGCCGGCGCGGGCGCGGGCTTGCGCAGGCGGTACTTGTCCGCGGGCGCCGCGGGCTCCGCGGGCGCGGCGGCGTCCGCGTCGTCGGCCTTCTTCGCGGGCGCCGCGCCGCGGATCGCGCGCGCGACGAGCCAGGGCTTCGAGCCCGGGTCCGGCCCGTCCCCAAAGGGCGCGGCGTCGACCAAGCACTCCACGTCCAGGACCCAGGACGACTTCGTCGGCTTCGCGCGCGTCGCCGTCGCCGTCGCCGCGTCGACGCAAAACGGCAGCCCGAGCTTCAGCGGCTCCCGGCCCGGCAGCGCGCACTTGACGCCGAAGGCCGACACGGCGACCTTGGCGTTCAGGAAGGGGTCCGCGGACCCCGGGCTGCGCGGGAGCGACAGCCGCGCGACGACCGCGTAGGGCCGGTCCGCGTCGTGCGGAAGCTTCGAGAAGCCCCCGCGCGGGCCCCGGGGCAGCAACACGACGGGCCAGGCGTCGGGCCCCTCCTCGGGCGTCGCCGGCGCCTTCGCCAACGGCGCCGTCGACGTCGGCGCGTACCAGACCTGGGCCGCGGGCGCGGGGCCGAGCGCCATCGTCGCCTTCGTCCTCGCGGCCTTCCACTTGTCGCCCGCGGTCGCCTCCTCGACGCCGGCGCGCTTCGACGCGTCGCGGACCCACTGGGCGTTCGCCTCCGGGTCGCCCTTGTACTTGAGGCGCGGCAGCTTGTACTTGCGGTCCATGGCCAGCTTGTACTTTTGCTCGACGTACGTCATCGCGAGCTGGCAGAGGAAGTCGCGCTGCGCGCCCGTCTTGTCCTCGTCGGCGTCGGCGAGGACTTTCGGGTTGACGACGCAGTCCGTGGAGACGCAGGGGTCCTTCTTGTTGTCCTCGCAGGGGTTCTGGGGGCCGATGGACACGGGCACGGACACGCCCTCGACCTCCTTGCCCTGGTCGTCGAGCCGCTTCACCTGCTTCGGGACGCCCACGGCCTCGTGGGCGCAGATGTTGATGAAGTACTTGACGGACTTAACCTCGCCGGCGGCGGCCATGCCCTCGGGCGCCGCGGGCTTCGCCGTCGTCTTGAGCACGAAGCCGGGGCTCGGCACGACGCGGAGCGCGTCCTCCTCCGCGGGCCTCGTGGACCCGTCGCCCTTGAGCACCTTGCCGCCGGGCAGCTCGATCTCCCCGTCCCGCGCGCCCTGCCGCGGGCCGGCCTCGGCGCCCTTGCCCGCGACGGCCTCGCGCCAGAGCTTCTCGACGTCGACGCCGTCCGCCTGGCCGTCGCCGACGCCCTGCTCCGCGAGCGCCGCGGCCATCATCTGCGCGAAGGCCTCGGGGTTCGACTCCTGCAGCGCGTTCAGCTCCCGGAACGCCGCCTCCTGCTCGTCGGCGCTGCCGGGCGCGTGCGCGCCGCCGCCGTCGGCGGGCGCCGACGACACGGCGGACACGGGCGACGCGCCGCCGCTCGCCGCCGCGCCGCCG